GATGCGAAATCAGCTGTTAAAACATTTTTGGTACACACCTAAACAGCTGTCGCGATTTCTTCGTTCAGTTTAGTATTTATAAATTACATCTTATCGCTGGCTTGTACTAATAATGGGGAGAAAAAAAATTTAAATAATAAAAAGGGGAAGGGGGTAAAGCGATTGAAAATATGCTTTATTAAATTTTAGGCTAACGAATCCTAAAAAATAGAAAAAAAAGAAAAGAATGATAAACATAGGATGGAAAATCCTATGAGGTTGGAAGTAGGGATTTCAGGATTTCTATCTGCAATATTTGTCGAGGGATACTGGTTTGACTGAGGTTCATTTAGCAACATTGGGTTGAGTAGCGCAGACCTTATTTGATCTTACATAGGATAAACTAAAATTTAAATTCGTAAAAAATTATAACTTTATACCGTTTTATCTTTTTTTTTGGAATTAGAATTTTCCATATTACCTTAATTTTGATTATATTTTTTTTAAAGTTATATTGTAAATGTTAAAAAAATGAATAAATAAAAAAAAAATTATATTTGATAAAAAGAATATCGTAAAAGGTCTGCGTAAGGTGCATCCATGGATGACAATGTAATTATAAATTAGATTATTTATAGCGTTTAAATGATAGCCAAATTATGTGGTAGTTCATTAATATAAAAGAAATTTTTTTAGAACTTTCTAAATTGATGTAATCATCATTATTAAATAATCTTTATAAAAAATATTTAAGAAATATTGGCATCGAAGAACTTATACGAGTAAAAATAAAATAAAATCCAAAAAATATTAAAAACATAATTTCATAAATATTAATCCGCAAGATGGCTCTTAACAGATAATTATAATATAAAGAAATATTTTTTTAAAATTATTATTTTAAGTTATTGTTTATAGAGTTCGGAATAAACTTGTTAACCGATAAAACTAACACATCTCCTTTTTGCAAAAACATTCTTTTTTTCACTTTGCGCCAATTTTATTTTAATTTAGAATTACGAGTTTTATTTCCCTCTTTCTTTCTTTCTTTCTCTCTTTCTTATACTTAATGATATACTTTATTTTTGTTTTAAAATAATTATTAATTTGGATATACACTTTTAATTTTATTAATAAATTTTACTTCAAATTTTATTTCGAGGAAATGAAATTTCAATAATGCTTATAAAACTGAAAAATATGGTCAGTATGTTTCATTAAATCATCACAACATATTATTATATAAAAGTTATAAAAATATTTTTTAAAATAAAAATATGTTGGTTTATATATCGGGCTGCAAAGAAAATTTTCTTTATTCGAACGAAAATGTAAACAGAGGAACAAAATAAAACTTCACATCATTTTATAATTCAAAAAAAATATCAATTTTTTTCAAAATATTTTTTTTCTTTTAAGATATTTTTCGGGCATTTTGTTACACCCTTTTTGATTATTTATAGATATTTTATAACAAATAAATAAAATATATCTATTACTCTCTTGACTGTTAATTTCTAAATTAATGTTTTCTAGTTTTCTAAATTAATCATATCTTTATTTTTTATGATAATGTTATTTTATACATCCGTATAAGATTAATATTCATCATGACTAGGCACCTTACCTTATAGACCCAAATAGTATGATAAAGGTATATAAATTTGATGTTAAAAAATAACTATGAGAAGCAAAATATATTTTTTTCCGATTACAAAGTGAAGTTAAGAATATATAACGTAAGGAAAATCTATCAAGTCATATGTATTTTACTGATTACATTATATTTAGTTTAAAATACAATATCTAAAATGAAATTTTTTTTAACTAAATAATTAATAGCTATTTTGTATTTAGAAGATATAATTTATTTTCTTACCTTTTTCTCCTTCACACCCATAACTATACCTCACTCTAGAACTACAAATTGGATAGGGCGTAATTCCACTCATTTTGATAAATATACATCTGTACAAGTGTTGGTAACCCTGAGAAAAAAAATTCAGCAAAATTATAGGGAGGGTGGGTCTCCTTATAATTCACATTCGCTTACTTTCGGCAGATCTATGACCAATGTGATAGATAAGATAAGAAGATATAAAAGTTATAATTTACTTATAAATAAATTTAAAAAAACATCTTTCTAATATCAAAAATAATGTACCCGGATTAAAACAAACTAGTTTAATTTTCTATATATTCAACAAATTGACCCAGCAAGCCAACCCAGCAAGTCGACCAAGCAGGCCGACCCAGTATGCCAACCCGGGTCGGCTCAACAGGCCCAATGGGTCGGGCTGGGTCTTAATCAATTTTTCGACCCTGGCTCTGGGTTGGGCCAATTTTTATGACTTCGACTCGGGGTCGTGGTCGAAAAAAACCAACCATTTAACAACACTAGTTTTGGGGAGTTTTTAAGAAAGGATTTGCTTGAGGTTGTAATTTGTTTATATAAATCTGATTATAATATTATTATTTGAAAAGAAGATTATCGGAAATTAAGTTCATTTTTATTATATTGATTCTTTTGTGTATTTTATATAGCTGTGTATTTTGATATGTAAATAAATAAAAATTATGATAATAAAGCTCATCTTTTAACAATTGCTAAGAAGAATTGATTGTTCAAAGTTTGCGAATTTCAATTAAAAAAAATTATAATATATTAATATCCTTTCTATATTAGGCCGAAGGCCCTCTAGTTGATCTCCCTGAAATTGTAGAAGCTAATGTAGCCCCTGATTCATTGTAAATATAGGGGCATTTAATAGGATTTATGTTCTAAAAGATAGCTTGTAAATATCGCCTCCGAAGATGTAGAAATATTTTAAGAGGGGTAGGCATAGGTTTTTAACGGAGGTTTGAATCCAGTGAAAATTCTGCCATGTTACTGTCAGGATACAATTTTATAAATATTTGCCCAACCCTGGGTAGACCATACCATTCCAGACACTTCCACAACACTCAGAGCCAGTAACATAGCTATGAGAGAGGAAAACGATGCCGAAATTTCAATTTGAAAAATTTTTCTATTCTTATAATACATATTTAATGCTTATTTTTATGATTTAATTATTAACAATACTATAATTACAAATTAAATCATTAGCATATATTAAATACTTCCATATTTGTGATATCAAATAACTACTTTAAAAAAAACTATTATTTATATAAATTTTCACGTATTATAAGCACGTGACCATTTTCCATTTTATTAGCTTTTGATTCGATAATACTTTCCAAACTTTGGAGGACTTTAGAGGAGTTGGGTACTCCTTTAATTTTGATAAGTCTGTTGAAATTAATTTATAAGGATTATTCTATTCAAATTGTTCATGCGGGGAAAAAATCACCAAATTCCGATATTTTTGGGATTGAAGCAATGTGTTTTATCACCGATTCTATTCAACATTGTTATTAACCATATTATAATCAAAGTCAGAGATACACACTTTGCTCAATGGTTTTCTGGAAAACTAAGCATTATAGCTTTCGTCGATGATTTATGTTTAGTCGGTGAATCGACTATGGTTTTACAGTCAGCCTTAAATTGTATCATCTTAGAGGCGGGACACTGGCCTATTATTAAATAAAAACAAGTCAAAAATTATGACGTCCTACTATTCTTCTCCACTGATTAATTTAACTATAGATGGATGTACGATTACTGAAGTAACTACATTAAAATATCTAGGTGTTTTATTGGACAAGAAAGGTTGTACAAAAAAAGATCAACAGTCTAAACTAAATAAGACCAGAATAAAGTACAGGCTCTGATGTAGATTTGATCCTCACAGCAAATTTCGATTCCATTGAAGATTAGACTATTTAAAGTCTTAAATGGCCTCTCTTTACTACGGTGTAGAAACATGGAACGATACTAAGTCGGATAATTACAAGATACAAATATTTATTAATAAATGTCTAAGATACATAACTAGAACCTTCTATCCTCGTAATACTACAAATTATAGGCTTTGGGCTAGATGTGATATTCTTCCTATTCATAGAATGATAGAGGAAAATCGAGTTGGTGGGTCACATAATAAGACATCCTTCGAACAACTTAATACATCAAGCCCTTATAAATCAATCTCAGGAAGACATTGCTCTTAAGCCTTTTCTATCCTTTAAGGGCAGTTGGTTTGAAAGAATGGTAAGGTCTTTGGTAAAACTCGATTTATCTTGGGATTTTTTAAAGACGGTTTCATCAGACAGGAAAATATTCAAATATATTCTGAGACTCATATATGAACATATGACAAATAACTGCTAAACGAGGTTAAAATTGATAACTTTAAAATTGATAAACTTTGTTCATAATATGTATTTTAAGTTATTATTTTCTAGGAATGGGGTTTTTTTCTAATATTTATTAGGACTTAAGGTTTATTTCTATAATCGTCTTAATAATAGTTTATTATTAGATATTTATTTAAAGATGGCCAAACTTCTTCTCTATATTTATTGTGATTTAAGTTTTATTTTATTCTATTCCCAATTGTATTTTAATCATACGTTACTGTTTGATATTTGTTTAATTTAAAGTTGACCAGGTCCTTCTTTAATTTATTATAATTTAAGTTTTTTTTCCTTTTTCCTTAAGCCTAATTCCAATTGTTCTAATTTAAGTAATTGTGATATACTCTTAACAGTAGTCTTTTCTTATTATCGGCAAAATGATAATGGCTTTTCCTTCATTTATTATATTTAATTATTCCTTAAAGTAATAATTAGACGGTTGTATTTGGAAGACTTAAGACAATTTCCTATATCTATTCAGTTCTCCTTATAATATAATTTCTATTATCTCCTGTTATACACTTCATTGGAAGGGATTAGTTCCACTCATATATTAGTTTCCTGGGTACAAGGTTTGTCGGTATCCTGAGAAAAAAACCGGCATAATTATATGAAGGATGGGCCTTCATATAATTCACGTGCGCTCATCTTGAACAGGTCTATGACCAACGTGCAAGATAAGATAAGATTCATTTCAAGTAAACAGTTGAGTGGAAGATACATAATTTAGAAAATTTATAAGTTAAAATTATGATACATTATACTTTGTTCAGTAGATATTATTTAAATAAAATTCGAAAGTTAACTACAATAAATCATATATTAAAATATCCTGATTTTTTCATTAAAAATAAAGTTGAGTTAACAGGTTGGATAAAATCTGTAAGGGAAGGCAAAAATTATAGCTTTGTTGATCTTCAAGATATGTCCACAAATGAGAAATTACAAATTGTTATAAATCATAAACAATTACCAACACCATCTTATCCATATGGAACCTTAGTTAAAATCATTGGCCATGTTATACAAAGTCCAACTAAAGGTCAATATGTTGAAATATCATGTAAAGAAATAGATATAAAAATTATTAACGTTTCTGACCCATTAACATATCCAATTAAACACAATCAAATTCATTCTTTAGAATATATTCGACAATATCCTCATCTTCGATCAGGACATGATGGATTTGCATCAATTCTAAAAATTAGGAATATGACTTGTTCTTATCTATCAGATTTTTTTAATACAAAAAATTTTCTAAATGTTCATACCCCTATTATAACTACTAACAATTGTGAAGGTTCTAATGAATCCTTTCAAATTTATACCAATTACAATAATTTATCACCAAATACTTTTTTTTTCAGAAATTCAACATATTTAACTGTCTCTGCTCAATTACACCTTGAATCTATTGCAGCTAAGTTGGGAAATGTATATACAATTGGCCCTGTATTTAGAGCAGAAAATTCAAATACTAGGTTTCATTTAGCTGAATTTTGGATGCTTGAAGTAGAAATGCCCTTTGTTTATGATGTGAATTCAATATGCATTATTGTTGAAGAATGTATCAAAGGCCTATATAATTATTTAGCAAATTCACCTGATTTTGTAAAACATTTTGAAATAATAGCCAAAAATAACAATAAAAATATTGATTTTGAGGTTGGTCACAAAAAGATCCTTTGTAAAGACCCATTTGTCAAAATGTTATATAGCGAAGCTTCACAAATTTTATTGTTAAACAATGAAAAATTTAGACCAAAATTTATTGAAGGTGAAAATTTTTCAAAAGAACATGAAGCATTTATTGTTAAATATTGTAATGATATGCCAGTTTTCATATTAGATTTTCCTGTTAAATTAAAACCATTTTATATGAAAAAAAATGAAAATAATAATGCTGCTTGCTTAGACCTTCTTTTTCCTATAGTAGGAGAAATCTGTGGGGGAAGCCTAAGAGAAGACGATTATGACATATTGCTTAATACACTTAGATCAAACAAGACATTTGAATCATTAAAATGGTATTTAGATATAAGAAAATATGGATTTCCACCAATGGGTGGATTTGGAATTGGCCTTGAGCGATTACTTATGCATATTTTACATATAGAAAATATTCGCGATGTTTCTCCTTTTCCAAGATGGCATCAAAACTGCAAATTATAATATTTTATTTATCAAGCTTCATTGCTTGCGTGTGATTTGATTAAAAAATTAATATTTTATAAAATAAAATTCCAATAAAAAAATACGTCATAATAAAATAAATAATTATTTGTTAATGACGTAAAATCGCCATTTTTGATGCGCAAGCGTATAGTAATTTTAATATAATAACCTGTTCTTTGAAAATTTTTTGTCTCACACCAAAAAAATAGTCATTACGAAAAAATCCATTACCATCTCTATCGCCAAAATCAGTGAAATACAAATCGCTTTAGAATTTTTAATTTCATTCATTCACAATAAATTACCAAGATACAGAGTTTTAAAATTTAGTGAAAAACTTCAAAATCAGGGGCGGACTGGCCATAAGACCCGGTGGGCATTTTGCCCATGAGGCCGAGAGAAAATGTCGATTTTTGAGGCCGATCAGAAGAAAATATCAAAATAGAGGCCGATTAGAAAAAAATTATTATTATGTTCACATTATTTTCTCATATCATATTTATTTTTAATGATATCTCTATGATTTGAATATCACATCATTCCTTGAGAATTGTCATGTCGTTTACTATATTTTAATGCATATAGCAATAACGTTGCATGACGCTACACATCATTACAACGTTCTTTTCTTTGTTTTTTTTCAAATGAAGTGAAAACGCTTTCGTTTGAGTAGAGTGAAAGCTAAGTTTTGATTAATTTATTATATTATATTTTTATACATTGCTTTATTGTAGAAATAATATAGCCAACATTTCTTGTTCTTAATTCATTGAAATCAAATAAAATCAGGTCGGTGAATCAGATAAAAGGATGGATGCTTGGGTGAAACAGAATAATTCATCTGGCCAAAATAAGTTGAGAAGGCTGCAAAAAGTAGTTGAGATAAGATGGTGGGCACGTGAATAAGCTCTTAGATGGATATATGGTAAAGAGAGCTTGCTTCCAATAACGATAAAGGCACTTCAATTTATAATAAATAATTTGAGACAAAAACTTGATAATTTATGTAAATTTAAGACGCTATAAGTACAGTTATAATATATTTAAAATTTTTTCAAATAATGGGGCCACTGTCATATCTTCAAACTAAAAAATTAGGTACTTAGTCAGCATGGAAAATGAAAGAAGATGCTAAATCTTCTGTATCATCGATTCAAAATAAAGCAATAAAATGACTGCTAATTTAACTGAAAAATTTTCATATTTATAGCTTCCGGAGAGTATCTGAGTACAAAATGCTCTGGAAAAAGATAGAATTAAATGAGCGAAGAGAATATATAGTGACAAATGCCAAGATTAACGTCCTTAAGAATCGATTGACCTTTATAGGTTCGAACTATTTCGTCCTAATAATTGATCAAATTATAAACAGCTTGTCGAAAATACTTTCTGCGAATTGAGAGCTTATCTTGAATGTGCAATATTTGCATCCAAGATATTTTGATAAAATAAATAATAAAGGTATTTCTAAAAAGGCCTCGCAAAAACTGGCACAATTCGCATATATATATCAAATGTTAAATTTCAAATGAATTATGTTCATTTGCCAGTGTATTCAAAGATTTGGTAGCAGAATAAATGAAACGGACGATGATATCGCATGTACAAGTGGATACAAATGAAGAAGATGGAATATTACAATATGATAACAAATCAGAGTGTGATAATAAATGTAACAAGTGTTTAATATGCGTGTATGAAATTCTTAAAAAATACAATAGGCATACAAGTGACACTAATTTATTTTTGTCATATGAATTTTAACTTTATCATTTACGCAGGTTAATTGCGAGAAAGCATTTAGTAAATTAAAAATTATAAAAATAAGCTGAGAGCTAATATTGACCAAGAAAAATTAGAAGCGTTTTTAATTATGTCAGTTGAACGAGAACTATTTGCGTAGATTGAACTAGAAGATGTTCTTGTATATTTGGGCAAAAGTTCAAAGTTAATGAGAGATTTATTAAGGTAAAGATTATATATTTTCTTAATTCTTTTATATTAGAATCTTATTAATATTATTTACAATACGATCGGTGCCTGATTTCATAAATGTGCAGCAATTTTATTCTCTGTAATATTGTATCATTGCAATAATTTTATATTAATAATTAATTGATATAATATATTGATTATATTTTTTTTATATTTAACATGTGTTGTATGATTTGATTTTATAGTGCAATATCGTTGTAAATATAATATAAAATATATATTTTCAATGAATATTATTTTATATAGGTAATGAATATGATTTTAGATGTGCATTTTTTTAAAATAAAATATATGATTATCGTATAATACTATTTTAATAAAAATGTAAAACGTTTGAATTTATTTTTAAAAAAATAAGAATTAATAAAAATCATGCAAATCAACGAAGCCATTTAAGGGACCCGCTATAAAAAATGCCCACGAGGCCGCAGCGTGGCCAGTCCGCCCTCCATATTAGATTTATTA